ATGGGAATTCTTTGAAAGTTGTTCCACATTTCAGTTAATCAGGCCAGGGTCTACCTGCTGCCTGCAGGATGGAGAGCTCCGCGCTGCCGGGATTGATGCCGCGCACTTGGGCATCCACAAATTAACGAGGCGGCATCCTGTGATTATTCTCCAGGAGCTGCCAAAGCAATCACTGCATCCTGCAACACACCTGTGGCAGCCTGCACGGGCTTATCGATGCATATTTGCTGCTCTACTCAATACAGATGCAAATATTTGGTTACTAAGGAAGCGAGGAGTATTGCCACAGTCTCCCAGGAAATAGTCCGGCGTGTCTCAACCTTTCCGAGCCAGTGGATGCTCCGCAGCCGCTCTCAGCATCTTTATCTCTTGCTGCATCCCTGGTTCCTGAGTTCACCCGCCTTTTTGGGTCGCACCTGGTGCAAAGCTTTTGTTTCCAAAATATTTACACCGTCTCCATAGAGAGGATCATCCCCAGCCCAGGTGAGAGGAGATGGGGATGTGCTAGACCTGGACCTGGATGGGCTTGAGAGGTGGGTTAGTGCAAATCGCATGAAGTTCAACCAAGCCAAGTGCAGGGACGTGGCAATCCCAAGCACAAACACAGGTTGGGTGGAGAATGGCTGGAGAGCAGCCCTGAGGAGGACCTCAAGCTCCAACAGGGGAGGTTTAGATTGAACATTAGGAAAGAAATTTTCACCGAAAGAGTGGTCGGGCATTGGAACAGGCTGCCCAGGGAGGGGGTGGAGTCCCCATCCCTGGCTGTGTTTAAGGGCCGTTTAGATGCAGTGCTGAGGGACATGGTGTAGGGGAGGACTTTGTAGAGTAGGGGAGATGGTTGGACTCGATGATCCCAAGGGTCTCTTCCAACCTCGATGATTCTATGATTCGATGACCTGGGAGTGCTCATGGATGAGAAGCTCAACATGAGCCAGCAGTGTGCAGTGGCAGCCCAGAAAGCCAGCCCCATCCTGGGCTGCATCAGAAGAAGTGTGGCCAGCAGGTTGTGGGTGATTCTACCCCTCTGCTCAGTGCTCACGAGGTCCCACCTGGAGCACTGTGGTGTCCAGCTTTGAGTCCTCAACATAGAAAGGACATGGACCTGTTGGAACGGGTCCAGCGCAGGGCCATAAAGATGACCAGAGGGCTGGAGCCCCTCTGCTGTGAGGACAGGCTGAGAGAGCTGGGGTTGTCCAGCCTGGAGAAGAGAAGGCTCCGGGGAGACCTTACAGCAGCCTTCCAATATCTGAAGGGGCTACAGGAGAGCTGGGGAGGGACTCTTTGTCAGGGAGTGCAGTGACAGGACAAGGGATAAAGGTTCAAATTGGAAGAGGGGAGATAAAGAAATTCTTTGGTGTGAGGGTGGTGAGAGCCTGGCCCAGGTTGCCCAGAGAAGCTGTGGCTGCCCCATCCCTGGAAGGGTTCAAGGCCAGGTTGAAGGGGTCTTTGAAGGACCTGGTGTGGTGGGAGGTGTCCCTGCCCAGGGCAGGGGGATTGGAACTCGATGATCTTTAAGATCCCTTCCAACCCAAACCATTCTGTGATTTTATGATTCTAAAGTCAACCAGCCTCCGTCCATCCTTTGCATCCCCAACTCTCTGCTGATGGGCCGAGGACAACTGTAGATGTCGAGCAAACACCTGAGCAGCATCCCTCTTTGTGGCTGAGCTCTGTTTAGCTCTGCTGATGCACGCAAACCCCCCCAAATGTGGCAAAATGAGATTTTTATCGCTGAAAAAGTGCCTGGAGCAAAGGAATTGACCTGCAACGGGACAAGGTGCTGGATTTAAGCAGCAGCTCCTATTTCACATGAACTGATAGAATTGGTAGAAAATATAAGGGGTGAAAAAACCCACTGTTTGAGGAGGAGAAACCACCTTTAAAGGCAACAATGAACCTGTGGAGAGGTGTTGTAACTGCTGATGTAACTCATTCCTCCTGCATTATCGACAGCAGCCAACCTGCCAAATATTTTCTGTTTCTGCGGCGTGAGGCGGTGACTGATGCAATTCCCTGCACGATCCGAGGGCTTCCCTTATACGGCCTGAGGTGAGACCCCGGTGAGGAACCCGGCCCTTTCTCCACCGAGCAACACCCCCGTGATGTGGGAAGAGGCGCAGCCTTCGTGTCTTCACGCAAACACCGGGGTGTGTTTCGGGGGGGAGGGAGGATCTGAGTCACCGGAGGAGTCACCGGGGCAGCCGGCGTGTCTTTGCCCATTTCCCCACGTGCCCGTTGCAGGGCACGGGCAGGCAGGGATGGATTTTCTGCTCCCAGTTCTCAAGGAACAGCCCCGACGCTGGCGCAACCCTGGGAGAGTGCGGGGAAAGGGATGGGCTGGAGTCAGAAACTCTTTGCTGGCCAAAAATGCAACCGGGGTTGCAACAACTCATCAGCTGCTAATCCCATCGCCCCGACGGTGCTCACGCACCAGCACACGGGTCTGGGTTAAAACCCAACCAATTTGGGGGAGGCACTGTTAAAAATCCCACTTTTTTCAGCAGCCTGGTTTGCCCTAAATACCCTTTTTTCAAACTGCCGTGCGAGGGTCAGAGCTGCGGGTGAGCGACAGTAATCCCAGTTTAACCCCTGAATCTGGCTGGTTGGTCAATGGCAGCCTCAAAAAGAAGGTACCTGTTGGTCCTGCGGGGTCTGGGGGGAATAAATCACCCTTTTCCACCTCCGAGGCTGACGAAGAGGAGGTTCAGGCAGGGAATGGGAAGGGGGATGAGGATGCTGAGATCACCAGGGGCTTTGGAGGAGATGCTGCTTCACCACCAGGCTGGGAAGTCAGCGCCGAGGAGGGCTCTGGGGAGATTATTGAGTGGGGCGTTTTTGAGGGTTTAAGGATGTTAAGCCAAAGGAATTTTGCTCCTTTGTTTCAGAGGGGGATTTTATTCAAACACACAAACTGTAACTCAGCGGCGAGGCATGTCAGCCCCGGGGGAGCATCCCATATTCCCTGTATCTCTGCACGGATCGTATGTAAAGCTGCTGGGTTTGGTCTGGTTTGGCTGAAAAACGGTTACTTGGAAGGAAGAGAGACCCAAGGAAACAAGAACTTTCCACGAGCCTCAGACTAACAAAGCCTCAATTTGTGTAACCCAACCCAGGAAAATTAATGCTAAAAAAAAAACCTAAGCAGATGTGGAGAGCGGTCCTGAAACAGCCGCCGAGGGAAGGATGCTGACAAAGCGAAGGTAAAAATGGGTGTAAAACCCAAATCCAAGGCTCCAGATTCCTCAGCCCGTGTTTGGGTGAAGCAACTGAGAGCAAAAATAAACCCCACGCATTAGTATTAGCGTTGCTGGGGGTGGTCACCCTTATTTAATTGCCAGAGAGTTTCTGCCTGCAGAAATAGCACCGTTTCCCATCCCTTTTCCTCCCCGTCCAAATAGGAAAGGACTAATCACTGCTCCATTATTTATATCCCCAATTGGCAGGCAGCGGGGAGCGTTCCCCGGCAGGAATCGCAGGAATCCCTCCAGGAATGTCCCCGGCCGCCGGGGGGTATCCCATGTGCCACGAGGCCGGTGGCAGCGGGTCAGCCCTGCGGTCGCAGGAGCCTCCACTGAAGAAGCCGAGCCTAAACCTAATTAATTGTTGTGATTAATTTCAATGTGATTCACTTTCAGGGGCCGGGATGAAACCGTAGCCCGGCGGCGAAGCCGGTTGGTGACCGGCCGCATCCCAGGGCTGAGCCAAAGCCAATTAGGAAAAAGACTCATCGATTTAATGACCTTTGGATGGGCACCGGTGAATCCGTCCTCACCTCTGTGGGTAACGAGCAATCACGATATGCATCATCTCTCCAGGCAGGTAGAGAAGCAGTAATTAACTGGCCGGTTTATCATTCCCTCTGATGTTTTCCTGCTTCCTTAAGGGAAAAAAAAAAATGAAAACACCTCTTGTTGGTCAACAGGGGTTTCCCAGCTGTTGGCCATGAGGATCCGGAGGTTTCTCAAACCACCTGGCTCTCTCCAGCATCGCCGTCTGCCAAGCAGGGTGCCATGTGCCTGAAATAGGGAAAACTACCCAGATCTGGGAAAAACCTGCTCGTGGTTGACTAATAATCACCCTTTTTTGGGCAGTTTTAGTCTATTTTTGCATTTTGTAGGTATTGCTGTGAACCTGCGGGGTGGTACACGCCGGGGAAGCATTTCCCACCGAGCTGCAGGATTTTTCTTTAAATAACAGCTCCGTTTGATGCATCCACAGGACCCAGCCTCAGCACTTACAGCCCTGCCCTAACGACCGAGGTATTAATGATGTTTTCCCTTAACCTCAGCCGAGAACACAGGTTCTACATAAGCTGAGACTAAAGCGTTTTTGTGCTCTGTCAAAGATAATCTTTTCAGGTGTTTCTTTGAGTCAGTCGTTATCGTGCCTCCACCCAGTGCCTTTATGATTTTTTTTTTTCCAGGAGGTGCCGGGAAAACACGGGTTTGTAACACATTAACAGAGCCCTTTGAAGAGCCTCCAGTTATGGCACCGAGCAGGACTCATGGAATCATAGAATGGTTTGGGTTGGAAGGGACCTTAAAGATCATCGAGTTCCAACCCCCCTGCCCTGGGCAGGGACACCTCCCACCACACCAGGTCCCTCCAAGCCCCCTCCAACCTGCCCTTGAACCCCTCCAGGGATGGGGCAGCCACAGCTTCTCTGGGCAACCTGGGCCAGGCTCTCACCACCCTCACACCAAACAAGTTCTTCCCCAGATCTCACCTCAATATCCCCTCTTTCAGCTTAAAACCCTTCCCCCTCGTTCCATCACTCCCCTCCCTGATCCAGAGTCCCTCCCCATCTCTCCTGGAGCCCCTTGAGGAACTGGAAGGGGCTCTAAGGTCTCCCCGGAGCCTTCTCTTCTCCAGGCTGAACCCCCAACTCTCTCAGCCCCCCCTCCCAGCAGAGGGGCTCCATCCTTCTGGTCATCTTCGTGACCCTTTGCTGGACCCATTCCAACAGCTCCATGTCCTTTCTCTATTGAGTGGCTGCTCTGATGGAGTCTCAGCAGGTGGATGCTACTGCCCATGAAGTTTGATATAAAATATTGCCCGCCTGTTTGAATATAAACATCACCTGGCAAATCACTGCATTTTTATTTCAAAAACTCTTTGACTGAAAAGTGTTACTGCAGCTTTCCACTGGTGTTACTGGGAGTTCTCCCCGTGCTTTGCTTCCTCACGAAGCATCATTCCCAGCCGGGGCCGCGCAACGGAGCAATCGCATCACTCAATTACACAATATCCTTTGATTGCCCGGTGGCTCAGAGGTCCGGGAGCAGCAGTTGGGAAACGCTTATTTAATAACTTAATTATTGTAATATCGGCGTTATTTAGCACTTAGGCAGGACTCCGCATTCGGATAACAAAATTCACCCTTTATAATTTAATCATATCCACACTGTGATTTCCCCGGGAGCCGAAAGCAGTGAAAGAAAGGCGGGGGGGGGGGGG